ACAAAACGATATGTTTACGAGGTTCGGTCCCCACGACCTACGTCCCCGCTCCTCACCTCGAGGAGATCTCCACTATCACAACCGGGTTTTCTACGTTCACCCGAACAACGTTTACACCTCACAATACAATCACTATGTAATCACACCTCACACACTAAGTGTTGGTCCTAGCCCGTGTCCTCCTCCTCAAGTGCTCGGTTACAACCTCTCCCTAGGCACGTCAACCGACGCCACTCCTCTTGGATTCGACCCCGTCTCTCACCACACACTTCTCTCGGTGTACAAGTGTATTACAAGTGAATCCTCACAATAAGCACAATATAAATCAAATGATTTGGGATGTAGTGTTTATCACTTTGTTTGTAATGATTGGGTTATCCCTAAGAAAATTATATATATAACATTCTTTTGGGAACTTTCGTTACACAAACCATCCACCCCCAGCTTTCTTCGCGAAACTGGGTCTAACATCATACCGAGTTACATGACCAGGTTATCCATGTAAAAATTCTCCAGGAACTTCCCGTCAAGAGTGGGAAACAATTTAGACTCATATACCTATTGGAGTTTCAAGGAGCAGTTTATCCTTGTATACCGGTTGGAGGCTTGAGAAGCAGTTTATACTCGTATACTCTTTGGAGTGAGGGGAAACAGTTTATACTCGTGCACCCAATGGAGTTAGAGTCGTCTTTACTTGGCTTGTTTCGCCATTATGACACCGGAGTCAATTAAGGCTTGAATTTTGTTTTTGAGTCCGAAGCAAATCTCGGTGGGATGTGTTAGACCCTAGAGGGGGGGTGATTAGGGTCTTATGCTAATCTAATCCGATTAAATGCCAATTAAAACTAATTAATAAGTTATCCTAGCAAGTATAAAATACAACAAGATACGTAAGCTAGGATAAGCAATATGAACAAATGAATATATCCTATCAATGAGATATTACAAATATATGAGCAAGGATATATGAACTAACACAAGGGTAAAATAAACAATCTACACAAGTGATAGGGTAATATGATGAGCAATACACAAAGGCGATATAAGATATGAAAACAAGAATAAGAACGCCAATGCAATCACAAACAAAACGATATGTTTACGAGGTTCGGTCCCCACGACCTACGTCCCCGCTCCTCACCTCGAGGAGATCTCCACTATCACAACCGGGTTTTCTACGTTCACCCGAATAACGTTTACACCTCACACTCGGTTTTCTAGCTAACCGAAAACTTTACAGTCAACACTCTTGCAATCACACTCTACACCCACTAAGTGTTGGAACTAGACGTGTCTCCCTCAAGTGTTAGGAATTACAACCTCTCGTCACCTACCCCACTCCTCTTGGGACGATCCCCGACTCTCGCCACACACTTCTCTCTTGGTGTACAAGTGTATTACAAAGTGTATTCTCACAATTAAGGCTCAATACAAAGTGTTTGTTCTCTACAATGGATGAGAACGAATTGTAAGCTCACTCTCTAAGATACACAATCTCACAACCCAATTATACTATGAATGTAAATACAATAAGCTCAATAGGTTGTGTGTGAACAAAGAGATAATAAAATCAACTAAACTCAATATGAACACTAGCTTAATAAAAAGATAATCAAACAATATAAAATATGAAGCTAGATTGAGTTTAGAAAACTTCTCAATAGATCAAGAGTGGAAGGAGAAGAGTTGGATGCTCAAACACCAATAGATGATCTCCTCAAGCTCTTGTGGAAGTGATTCACAAAACCAAAACACTCAAATGCTTAAAAGCTTATAAACACACTTAAACCAAACATAAACCCTTGATTAAAACTTTCTTAAACTTGTTTTTAAACTCTCTTGGATGGTTTGAAAAGACATCAACAATGGGGTATATATACCCTCTGAAAACTCAGCCAAAAACACCCAAAACAAAAGACAGAAAAGCCCCCAGAAATCTGCTCAGGAAATAGCCGTTAGGAGCCAACGGCTCTTTTGTCGGTCGACCGGAAATATCGTCGGTCGACCGATGGAAAGCATTCGGTCGACCGATGGCAAATCCGGTCGACCGTGAGCAGGTCTGAAAACAAGGAAAGGGAGGCAGACTTCTTCGGTCGACCGGTGCGGTCGACCGATGGAGCTTTTCGGTCGACCGGACCGGTCGACCGACGATTCTCTGGAAAAATACTCACGAATGGTCAATTGACCGGTCGACCGTACCGGTCGCCGAAAACTTGATATTTCAGAAAATTTCGGTTTTAGAGCTGAATTTTAAAAACCTGTTTAAACAATATCAATCCAATTCGCAAAAAACTTGTAATAATTTGGGAAATGATTGTAAGAAGATGATGAATAAACAGGCTACAACGACTAGTTTCGAAAAAAGACTTCAAATGAAAAATTAATCATCCATTTTGCAAGATATGCGCAAAACACGAAAATGTAAACATGTGAATTTGATATTTTGCTAAACCAACATTTGAAACATTTACAAAATGATTTTTATAGACATGAAGAAAGATGTAACTATTGTTATGAGTGCTGTAAACAAGTGATGTAGTATTTTATCAAAATACACATATAAATGCACTAAAACATGATTTCATTTAACTACTAAAAAATTGATATTGATGAAATCATATATAATGCATGATGAGTATGAAACAAAAATATGTTTTTCTAATTATATTCATTGTTTCATAGTAAAACTTGTAAAAACTATCAACCAAAATATATATGTATATATAGTAACTATATAAATACAAAACCAAACGTGTATTGTGTATCATGATTGAGCCTTAAGCGTAGCTTAACACACATAAAATAAAACGGCTAAATAAGTACCCAAGCTAGATCTTGATCTCTCAATAAGCCTCTTCTTTGGTAATTGCTGCGATGAAGCTTGAACTTGATCTCCAAATTGAATTTGCAATAGCGCTTCAAGCCACTAATTCGCAACCTCCATTGGATATCATCGTTGAAGCTCTATTCCATCCATCCTCCAACAACGTTGTTTGTCTACAATAAATAAGAAAACACAAATACTAGACAAACAACATTAGTGGTAAATTGTTTGTTAAACATCATCAAAACAAGAAGGCCAACAGTGACACTCTAGATTGACCTGCATTATTGCCATGATTCCCACAAGTGTGGTTGTCCATGAATGTTTTGATTTCAAGTCTATTCTCGTTTTGTGTTGGAGAGGCAAATAACATCCACGGGCAATTTTGGGCTTCCTTGAACCGACAAAATACTCAAATACGCTTCGGTTCATTCTTAGCAAACAAGTACTTGAATTTTTTGGCCATGGAATAGTATAGTAAAGCGAATACGCTTCGGTTCATTCTTAGCAAACAAGTACTTGAATTTTTTGGCCATGGAATAGTATAGTAAAGCCAATCTTAATTCCTTCGCACTCTCAAAACAAGTACTTGAATTTTTTGGCCATGGAATAGTATAGTAAAGCCAATCTTAATTCCTTCGCACTCTCAAATCATTGTCCCTCACTAGTTAAAGCAGCGTACCACCAAGCATAAATCCTCTCTGATCTGCTAATCATGTCATCAATCATCAGAACATTATCTTCAGAAGGATTATTATTGGGAATCATATCTGAAACACATGTGGGTGTCGACAACGACAAGTCACCCTCTATACTTTTTGAGTTCATACTGCTGGAAGCACTGCAAATATAAAGAACATGAACAAATGATCGTAAACTATACAATAGAAACATCAACAAATAACACAAATAAGGAAAAGACAAAAAACATCAACTGCTTTTGTTATAACTGTCGTGGAATCCAATTAAACTAACAAGATTTCATTTAAAACTAACATGAAAACGGTTAGACCGAACATGAAGTCAGTTAGAACTAACATGTTGGACCTAACACAGTTTGTACTTTGATCTCATAGCAAATCGATTAGAACTAACAATAAGTCTATTGGAACTAACAACTAATAGATTATAGTTAACAATAAATCTATTAGAACCGACATTTTTAATACATTCACGTAGAACAAGAACTAGCATGAACCTCCTTTATACGAATACAGATGTAACTAGAATTCACAGCTTATAGAACTGTCATGAAATCGATTAGAGATAACATACACCCAAATCCGAACTATAATCTAATGAACTAACATTAACTGATATTACATGAATATTGGTCTTAGCATCAAATAAATCCTTGCCCCCTACATGTCTTGTCGAACTTGAACGGCACTATGAACTTTAGAAGAATCATCTTTTTCCTTGAAAGCTTGCATATGAACCTCCTTTAATCCTCTGTTATGGCAATGCTCCACCATAGACGACAAATTCCCCTCGTTCTCAATAGGAAATTTGAAGCTTCCATTCGTTTCATCTTTGAATGACAAACTTAATGATTCATATGGAAGATCTAACATATCTAACACAACAAATTTTAGATCAAGAATGGTGGTTGAAGTGTTAATCTTCATGAATACTGCTCTATCCCCCGAAGCTATGATGCAGGTGATGTCCTTTTCAGCCATTATGAAATGGAGGGAAGAGTAATGGATCGAACTTAGGACAAAGAGGAGTAATATTGAGAGAGTAATGGAGAGAATTTTCGTTTGAGGAAGAGTAATGGAGAACTAAATATTTATTGCTCATGATAGAGGGGGAAATGAGGGAAATTTCCCTCCATTTCTTATAGCAATTTGTATTTAATGGGAAGTGACGAAGAGTGGTAACGTACCGTCTGAGGACGAAGGAGAAGGTCAAACTTGGATTTTTCATAAAATACAATTCCTCTTTTGTATACAACTGACGTGGAGGGGCCTATAAATATTAAAGGCTGTTTTTGGGGGCTTAACACACGGGGAAAAATACAAGAGGACTCGTCACATGATTTTTCAGCTTTTGGAGGCCTGACATATTTTTCCTAATTATTTAACTAGTGGAAAATTTTTTGTTAGTGTATTACCCTTTAGTTATATTTGTCTTTATTGGGCCTTGAGCTTTTTGGGTATTGGCCCAGTTTCAATGCTTTGAGCAACCGAGCTCTCTCTCTCTCTCTCTCTCTCTCTGACATAGCAGGATTCGAGACAAAAACCCTCGGCTTCCTTCTGAACTTTTCTTTGATCCCAACCGAGAGGATTCGAGGCAAAAACCCTCGGCTTCATTCTCATCAGCTTTTCTTTGATCCCGATTTCATCAAGGTTTGAGGTTATTAAACCAGGGTTTTATATGAGTCCTTGAATAAAGTTTAGTCTTTATCATCAGTTTTTCTCTCTTTTGCCCTAAATTTGATCCTTTAAATTTTGTGCGCCAGGTTTTATCTATTTGGTTGATAATGGGCTCAAAAAATTGTGAAGTATGCAAAGGGGAACAATCCAAATACAAGTGCCCCACTTGCTTTATCCCTTAGTAAGCATTCCCACTCAACGCATTTCTTGATTTTTTTTATTGAATGAATAATGCTAATTCACAACATTTTGATTTAATTTGAAGGGTTTTTTTTGTCATTTTTAATAATACAGTTTCATGTTTGTTTGTTTGTTTTCGTCCTCCAATGTGCAGTTGTTCCATGGTGTGCTTTAAGAAGCACAAAGGTACCCATCAAGCAAATCATGCTATTGTTATGTCTTTGGTTTCGATTTGTGATCAGGTTATTGAAGTTCTTGGTGCATCAACGATTATGATTTAAGGTTTTTCATATTTTCGATATATACGAACAATGAACTTATTGATCCCTAACTCATTAATTTGTAGTCCTGGTGCTTTTAGGATATGAACTTTAGTTTACTAGTGCATCACTTACTATTAACTTGGTATATGTAAGGGATCATTGTGGACTAAGTAAAACTATGAAAACGGTTTTTTCGCATAGATGAGGTAAATGTTAAGCTGAATCCTCCTGCTTAGTTTGCCTATCACGAGCATACGGTTTTTTCGCATAGATGAGGTAAATGTTAAGCTGAATCCTCCTGCTTAGTTTGCCTATCACGAGCATATAATTGCTAGTTGCATTTGGTTGATAATAATGCTTTCTTTAGCAAGTAACTTTTTAAGACCAACATAACCATATGATTTTTGCTGTTCTTGTAAGGAATATAACCTTTAGCATAACTATGATTCTATACATCCCTTTATAGGTATTCGTGCAACGTGACGCTGGAACATTTTTATGCACAAACATATATTCCTTCAAGAGTGAAATAAATTTCGAACTGATGAAAAGATTGATAGGTTACTAGAACTATAACTTTTTAAAACATGTTCATATATCACTTGTTATAGTGGAATTCTTCCATTCTACTACTCCAAATTCAGTGCAATAAATATCTCTTAATGTATTCCAATAAAATTCATTTTCCATATTCTTCCATGCTTGAATATTTCTTCACTTGTTGATGCAGATATCCCTTGTGAAAAGCCTGTGCCTCCTTCAGAAGAACCACCTAAGCACTCTGACACCTTAAAAGATATAACTGATGGTAAAAATTCATTTACAACTTATCTTACATATTATATGCTTATGGAAGAGTTTAATGTATTCTGCATATGATATCGGCAACTTTCTGTTATCTAACTTTCACAGTACTTATAGTTTGTGCAGAAAGGTTGCAGGAAATAGACGATCCAAGTTGTGTTCTCAGCAAAGAACAACTAGAATCCATAGGTACTTACTCCACTGTTATATGTAAATATACATATTTGCGTCATGTTGATTACTGTCAACAGAGTATAATGATTGTAGTTTTCACTTCCTGTTTTGTTGCTATATCCATAATTTATAGCCGATTTCAAAAGGAAATTAAAACATCTCAATGTTGGCACACTTTGAACTATCTGATGATTTATCAAAACCCTTTTAGGAGATAAAATTCTTTCCAAAACCTGTTTAGTTTCTATCTCGACTTGATGATTCATATTGATTTCAATTGAACAGTCGATACTGATTTCTCTCGACCGCCTTTTTGTTGTACTATATTAACAACTTTGCATTCCTTAATCCTGTTGTAAAGAAAAAAACTCTTCCTCATTGTTTTTGCAAATGGCATTTATCTTTAATCTCTTTTGTCTTAGACTCAAGTGAATAGTATTAATAGTGTTTTAATGTTTTTCCTGCAAACAGTGAAGTCAAGTGAGATCAGAAGTTTCTTAGCAGATGTCAACCTACAGAAAATGATACAGAAAGTGGACAGCTCCCGAGACCCAGAAAATGTAATAATTCACTAGTACCAGTTTCGTGATAATTTTTTTACAGAAAGATTTTTATTTTGCACTCTCATTTATTCCATGTACACCGAGTTAAAGCATTACTCTTCTTCAGGAACTGGATAAAGCCATGGGAGATCAGACATTTCTCCAATTTACAGATAAGGTATTATTTTCTTGGTATCTGATTGCACCTCTTTATTTTCAGAGAAAACACGGTCTTAAAAGACACTCTTTTTTTAATCGTAAATTGAAAGCTTTATATACCTCATTTTTCGCCCTTATGGAATATTATGTTACCCTTCTGCAGGTTCGGTCTATTATCAATCCAGAAGAGTAAGTTCTCTAGCTGATCGATAGCCGATCTTATTGGTACTACTCAGAGGCAATATGATGAGAGGATTCTTGAGAACTATCCGAGTCTTTTGAACAATCTTTTTCGGCCATTCGGTATAGAAAATTACCCAATGTAAAATCTTCATGAGTTCACTATTGCAATGGATGAAATTGTTTACCTTATTTCATAGGGAGAGATAATGAGAATTATGTTGTTCCCTCATCATAATCATCATTTCCATGTATAAGCTTAATGGCATCAGCAAAAAAAGCACATAAAGTATCAAAGAAAACATATTAGCACATATATAGTAAATAAAGTGGGAGCTTTTTATTTGGAGTCTAAATAAGATGATCTCTGCATTTGAGAGTTCATAGCACATAACAATCATCATGGAGTCTAGAGTGAAGGAGGGGGTGAGTTGTTGTTATGACCGGGGCTTGGGTTAGGATCAACGTAGTCGACCCTTGCTTCCTCCTCCATCCATCTCCCTGTCTCCATTATCACTGACCTCCCTCCTGCAAATTTCATCCAACCCATTTTCACCTCATTAGTATTTTACGCATCCTATTATCCGATTTTATTTCTTTGTTGAGAATAATTTATCGATCTTCTGTTTTTCATACTAATAAAGTCTAACAAAATATTTAAAGATAAAAACAATGAGTGTCTAAGCGTTCTTAATCAAATAAAAATTAATTTTCTTCACAAAGTATCTCATTATCCAAAAACAAACAAACAAAGATAGTCGACGTTATCATGAATAAAGGGTTCATGCCATCACGCGACAATAATGATATTGAGAATAATTATTTTCGAAAAAATTATTTGTTGGACAGCAGGTTATTAGGATTCCTAATCTGTTTTGGTGCTCGTGTTGGTGTCGGCTCAGTTTTGAAAACACTTCGCCGATGTGGAGAATTGTTGGATAGCAGATTCTTAATCTCTTTTGGTAATAGGTTATTGGGATTCCTAATCTGTTTTGGTAACAGATTATTGGGATTACTAATCTGTTTTGGTAACAAATTATTAGGATTCCTAATATGTTTTGATTTTGGTTTTAGAATTCCTACTATGTTTTTGGTATTAGGATTTCTATATATATAGAACAGTTTAGAAGAGAGAAAATTGGTTGTTTTGAGCATATTGAGAGGGAGATATTGTGAGGGAGTTGAGAGCTTTGATTAGGGTTATATTTAAGAGCTTGTGTGAGTTGTAACCTATTGTAACTAGTTTGCGGTCCGTGCAAAGCAACCTTTTTTTTTTTTTTTTTTTTTTTTTTTTTTTTTTTTTTTTTTTTTTTTTTTTTTTTTTTGCTACAGTAATCCCGTTTTTAATAGGCATGGTTCGAATTTTTGGGGGTGCTACAGTATCTCTCTCTACTACAGTACCTTTTAAATGTTACAGTATGCATGTGTGCTACAGTAACATTTTAAATTATTTATTAGCTACAGTAATAATGTTACAGTAAATGCTACTGTAGTATTTATTGTAGCATGAACAGTGAATCTCTGATCCTTCTATTTGTATAAAGGAATAGATTGTTCTCCATATAGTAAAATCTCATCATCCTCTCCTGTGGCCGTAGGCAATTGCCGAACCACGTAAATTCTCTGTGTTTGTGATTGGTTTGTGCCGTTATTTTGGTGAATTGTACTCGTATTTGGTTTGGTTCTCTTCTCTTATCGCGCTTGCCGACTCGTTTGGTTTGCGAGCACGCTTCTGCACGGCACGCAACATTATTTTTCAAAGGAAAGTCCATGGACAATTATTTGGTCAAAGAGGTTTTCACGCAACACAAATTCAAGTCAAGCTGCTTCATGAAATTGTATGTGAAAGTTTAGAAGAGATACCTGAAACAACCATGGAATTCATGCATATTAGAGCAAGAGCAATGAAGAAGACGACGACTTTGCAACGTGAAAAAAACCCAGGAGCCATCTCTCTTTGCTAAATATATATATATATCTCACTTTTAGGAAAATAGAGTGCGGAAGCAAACTAAACCCTGTGCATTATTTATAGGGAGCTTAGAGAAATAATTTGTAAAAATTCCATGTAGTGTGTTTTCGTACAATGTACAGTCGACCGTGGACAGGCAAGCAACAAGACGACTAGGTCCAGCCTCTCAAATCTACTCGCTATAAATATTTGATACAACTTAGGCAACAAATTAGATTTTTTTAAAAAAAAATTAATTTAATAAAATTGATTGCATTCACGTTTGAGCATGCATGAAGCATTTAGGTCTCCAATGTAGGAAAAAGATATCCAATATAATGAATGGTGTACAATCTGTAAATTGTACCCCATTATTTATGGTGTAGATTATAATCTGTTTTTATGGTGCGTACTTAAAGTGTAGCATATCATGTAAAATTCTATATATCAACTGAAACTTTTGAAATTATTTTTTTTAACATAAGGAAATCAAGAACTCGATGTCTCTAATGTCCTCTTATATAATCTCATAAGACATTTCCCTTGGGAAATATTACAATCTATAAAACATCTACTCCTCTATACTTATAGGAGGATCCAAAGGTTTATTACTCGTGCTACAGTAAATGCTACAGTGAATTATTGTAACATTATTACTGTAGCATTTTAAAAAAATACATTGGCATTAACAAAAAATACTGTAGCGAAAACAAAAAAAGGCAAGTCGTGCTTTGCACGGGGTGCACACTAGTCTATAGTTATAGGAGGATCCAAATATTTGGAGGGATTTTTAGATCTCGTAAAAACCCAAAAAAAAACCACCAAACGCAGCAAATAAAATCACACAAGATTTAACGTGGAAAACCCTTAACAGAGAAAAACCACGGGATCAAAATCAATCCACTATTACCTCCAAATTATAATCTTTTACACGGATAAAGACTGCCAAACCCTCTCTCTCTCTATACTTCTTTTTCTTCTCTTTTTTTTCTCTAACAATAGAAGGATATATATAGAGAAACCAAAATCCTATCTCTAGTCTAACTTCCTAATTAGAATAAGATTCAAACTCTCAATCATGATGAAACTCAAACTCCTAATCATGATAGAACACGGATAAAGACTGCCAAACCCTCTCTCTCTATACTTCTTTTTCTTCTCTTTTTTTTTCTCTAACAATAGAAGGATATATATAGAGAAACCAAAATCCTATCTCTAGTCTAACTTCCTAATTAGAATAAGATTCAAACTCTCAATCATGATGAAACTCAAACTCCTAATCATGATAGATCTCTAACATTATCTAATTCTCATGAAGTTATACAAAGAATTAAAAACTCTATCCCAACTTGGAGTTTGAGTAAATACCCAACATATCCTCCCTCGACGAAAAATCTCCAAGTGTCTCAACGACTTCAGAAAAAACTCACTCTCTTTTTCTTGTTCTTCACCTCTCCCTTGTGGACAAGAGTCTGAGAAGAGTAATCTGCACCATTAACGGATCGCTCATCTAAATAAAAAAATATGATTGCTATTCTTCCTCCCTCGCAAAATCAAATCACCATCTCTATACACATTGCACCACTCTCCTTCACCCACATACTTGCAATAACACCTGACCAACTAGCTCATATATTGCAGGAAACGTTAGCTAAACAATACGAAGAAATCAGAGCTGAAATAAAGACTGAAATGGATTTGACGATGCAACAGATGCGAGATCTGCAGGTTCAACAACACCAACCAGAATCGAGTCAAAAGGCTGAATCTAGCCAGCGTAATGCCATACCTGTGCGTATAACCGAGGTTGATAGTGACCCTGAGGTGGATGAAACTCTCTTTGCTTATCATCTTCCTAATAAAGACAATTTGGAGAGCGGCCCGGTTAAGTCGTCAACTCAACCTGCTCAAATTTATTTAAAGAAAAATACAGAGGAGGACAAAAAGATTTAAGATCTCGAAAACAAAGTCAATGCTCTAATGACAGCCCAAGAAGTAAAAAAACGGGCATCCCATACCCGTACCCTAGGGAGTGGGATCTGATTCCTTATCCCCCAAAATTTAGTTTGATTAACTTTACTCCCTTTGATGGCAGGGGCTCACCTACGCAATATCTAATATATTTCAAATCTCATCTTGGTGCGATCTCCGGAAGAGAAGCTTTGATAGCACGGTCATTCGTAGGGACCCTTCGTGGACCAGCATTCGATTGGTACTTCCGTCTTAAACCGGGGAGTATCACCAGCTGGGATGATAAGGAAGGATTATTCATTACTAATTTCTTCGATGATGACACTGAGCTCTCCATTGACACCTTGCTGGACGAGAAGCAGAAAGATAGGGAGTCAGATGATGTCTTCGTCAAACGATTCTGGAACAAGACGGTGAATTGCAGAGATCCACTCACAGAAAAGTTCATCCTTCAGTCATGTCATAATAACTTGTCTTTAGATGTGCTAGAAGTCATGGAGGTTGTGCCTTCTAAAATATGAAAAGAATTGAAGGTACGAGGCGAACAGGCCGAGTGTTTTCTCAAAAGAAAGAAGTTGGAGAGGGGTAAGCCACCAGCTAATCCTCAAAAACAAAATTTTAACCCTCGAGGCAGAGGGAGAGGGTCCGTAGCTGCTGTTGATGCTCATCAAACATCACAACAACCGCAACAATAATAGCCGTAACAGTCATCCTTCCAACTGGCACAACATCAGAATCAGCAACCTCCGAGGCAGCCTAAGACTTCGGAACCCAGATTCCCAAAAGAATATTCTTTCAAAGACGATGAGGTTCTGGTTATCTTCAAGTATCTTTTGGATAACAATAAGATCAAACTTCCACCAGTCACGAACCAAGAAGAAGCAAAGAAGACTAACGACCCGAAATATTATGCATACCACAGAAGGGTCCACCATCCCACCAAGGCGTGTTATGTCTTCACCTCTCCCTTGTGTCTCAACAAAAAATCTCCAAGTGTCTCAACTGTTGGTCTTCTTGTTTTGATGATGTTTAACAAATAATTTACCACTAATGTTGTTTGTCTAATATTTGTGTTTTTCTATATATTGTAGACAAACAACGTTGTTAGAGGATGGATGAAATAGAGCTTCAACGATCATATCCAAAGGAGGTTGGCGGAATGTCGGTGAAGCTTATGCAATTCTAGTTCAAGATCCAAGTTCAGCTTCATCCGCAAGTGTACCAAGTTGAGCTACAATGAAGATCAAGATCAAGCTTGGGTAATCTAGTTTAGATTTTATATTATGTGTGTTAGATACTCTAAGCTCAATATCATATACAACACAGTTATTGGTTTTTCTCACAAAATGAGCTATTTTGAGAAAACTTTGTGATATTGTTTTATTGACCATGTTTACTTTATATTCATGTGTTATAATATTTATGAAGACATTTCATAAAGTTTCAATATGCGTTTAAACTCTTTTTGTCAAAAACATGTTCTTAACAAATTCATATTCATGCATGTTTTTACAAAATAATGAGTTTTCACAATTGAGAAATGAAAATTGATATATATATATATATATAGTTATATATATACATGTATGGTTTTGGTTTTTCATGTTTACAAATATGAAATTATATATTTCATATTTATTATTGTGATTTGGTTTAACTACTTAGATATGAATCATATGAGTATTTGTGAAAGCAAAATGATTTTATTTTCTATTGTATTCGTAAAAATACTGTTTTCTTAGTTTTTGGACTTAACAATATTCATATACATATTTTATTAAGTCTACATAATCATTGTGCAAAGTTTCAAAACATGGTTTAGCCTAAATGTCAAAATTCATATGTTTACATTTTCGCGTTTTGGACTATTTTGCAAAATGATGATATTTTTTATTTGGGAAGTCCTTTTTGGAAACCAGTCATTGTAACATGTTTATTATCATGTCTACAATCATTCCCCAAAGTTTTACATTTTTTGGAATTTATTTGATATTTTTAAACAGTATTTTAAAATCAGAAAAACAGTTTTCAAAATCAGTTTTCTGTAGTATCAAATTTCGGTCGACCGCACCGGTCGACCGCTCATATGTTCAGTCGATAGTGGGTAGCAGAGAGTTTGTCGGTCGACCGGTGCGGTCGACCGAGAGCTCGAAATTTCAATCGATCGACCGCACCGGTCAACCGACGAAGTTCTGCTTGTATTCTCAGTTTCAGATCTGGATCGCGGTCGACCGCGAATTTTTTCAGTTGACCGCCGCTCTGTCAGTTCTGTTTCCAACGGTTATTTTTGTTACCATTGCTGGGGCTGTTTTTGTCATTTGGCTTGGGGTTTTTGGCTGAGGTTCTTGGAGGGTATAAATACCCCATTAATCTCAGTTCTCAATTAACCCAAGAGAGAATGTTTTAACAGTTTTAAAAAGAGTTTAAGTTTGTTTAGTTTGTTTTTGGGGTTTGTTGTTACAAAGAGGAGTTTGCATCATCTGTTGAGGAATTCATCTTCAATATTCTTTCATCCTCTCTTTGTGTTGATAGAGAAGTTTTCTTAACTCTATTTCCTAGCATTTCTACTATTGTATTTCATATCAATCTTATTGCTAGTTCTTATTGAATTAAGTTTTTATTTTTATCTCATTGTTACACACACCCACTTGAGCTTATTGTATTTGCATACATAGTATATTAGGGTTGTGAGAGATTGTAACATTGAGTTGTGCTTCTTTGTGTTCTCATATATTGTAGAGAACAAATTTATATTTGTTACATTGTGAGATTGTAAGGTTTTCGGTGAGCTAAAAAACCGAGTGTATTGTGATGTTTTCGGTGAACTAGAAAACCGAGTGTGAGGAGTGATGTTGTTTGGTGAGCGTTGAAAACCGACACTGTGAGGTGTAAATGTTATTTTGGTGAACGTAGAAAACCCGGTTGTGATAGTGGATTTCTCCCCAGGAGTGGGGAGTAGAGACGTAGGGCGGAAGGTCCGAACTCCGTGATCATATAGTATGTTTGAGTGTGCTTTGGCGTTCATTTATATTTATATTCATATCTTATATCGTCATTGTCCATAGCTCATTATTTATATGATCCGCTATTTAGTTCATATTGTTTACCCCTTATGTTAGTTTACATATCCTTGCATATATCATATTGTATATCTCTTTGGTAGGATATATTATTTTGTGTTAGTTTATATATCCTTGCATATATATTTTTATCATATAGGATATATCTCTTTATTGTTCATATTGCTTATCCTAGCTTACATATCTTGTTGTATTTCATACTTGCTAGGATAACTTATTAATTAATTTTAATTGGTATTTAATCGGATTAGATTAGCATAGGACCCTAATCACCCCCCCCCTCTAGGGTCTAATATCAACGACTTCAGAAAAACTCACTCTTTTTTTCTTGTTCTTCACCTCTCCCTTGTGAACAAGAGTCTGAGAAGAGTAATCCGCACCATTAACGGATCGCCCATCTAAATAGCAAATATGATTGCTATTCTTCCTCCCTCGCAAAATCAAACATCTCTATACACATTGCACCACTCTCCTTCACCCACATACTTGTACCCACGTGATGCCATCTCACCTAGCGAAATTAAATTAGCACCACATGTCGGCACATATCTCATATGATGAAGAATTCCGACCTTCCCAGTGTGAAGCTTGAGGCGAACACTTCCAACACCTTCAACCTTCATCTTCTCGTTGTTTCCAATAACCACATCATCAAATTCTTCATCTGTCTTCAATGTGTTAAAATAATTTTTGTTGTTGCAAACGTGTATAGAGGCTGCAGAATCTAACACCCAAGTGTTACTCGCATCAGTACTTGTATTCTGCATCAATAAAACCACATCTTCATCACACACAACCACTGAGGAGTCCGTCTTCTTCCCATTTTCTTGAATCTTCATATGTCTAATACTCTTCAAATCATCACGCATCTGGGAACATCTGAACTGAATGTGATCCTTCTCTCCGCAATAATAACACTCCTTTTCGCTGTCGTCTCAGGCCCGAGATTTTGACCTTCCTCGATAACTCTCACATCTCCCCGTACTCCTCCCTCGATTAGAACCTTCAAAAGCTAGTGCACTCTCACCATCATTAGATGCGCTCTCTTTTCCCATCATTCTTTCATTCTCACATAGGAGTGCTGTCACATCGTCGAACTTTAAAGTCTGCTTCCTTGTAATTATCGTCTGAACTAATGACTTGTACGACTTCGGTAAGGAAGACAATAGGAGTAGCGCCTGCTCTTCTTCTTTAATCTCCTCATCAATATTCATAAGTTGGCAAACTAGCTGATTAAAGGCATTGATGTGGTCTTGAATTGCAGTACATTCTTCCATCTTCAATGAATAAACCTCCATCCTCAAACACAATCGGTTGGTCATCGACTTCGACGCATAAATCTCCTCGAGCCTTTCCCACAGCCCCCTTGGTGTGGTCTCTTACATAACATTATACTTGATCTCGGGGGCGAGTGCCAAACGAGTTGTGCTAACCGCCCTCTTTTGCATGGAACTCCATTCAATATCCTTCAATCCTTCAGGTTTCTTCTCCTCCAAAGCTTGATCAACACCCTGCTGCAAAGAATATCTTGAACCGTGCACTACCATACTGCAAAATTTGTCTTGCCATTGAATAGCGGAATATCAAACTTCGGACCCGAATAAGTCATCATCCTCTAACCATGATCAAAATTCAAATCAGTCTATATAGAGATTGAATTTGATAAAACTAACATAAAAAACGAACTCAGCACGTCGAAAAATCCTAGGAACGACTCCTGGATCACCAAAATCCGCCTCCAAATTCTCGATCAAAAGACAAATCAACTTCAACCGTCAGATCTGTCATCACTACAATACCGCCGCTACAGTACCATGAACAGTGCGCCGTCGTGAACACTTCCTCCGCCACAGTACCCTCGGTGAACAGTGTTGTTGCTATAGTTCCGTTACTACCAATGTCGTTGCAAATCTCGAATCTCCACGAACCGTCGAACCCCACTCTGATACCACTTGTAGGGATTTTTAGATCTCGTAAAAACCCCCAAAAAACCATCAAACGTAGCAAATAAAATCACACAAGATTTAACGTGAAAAACCCTCAACAGGGAAAAACCACGGGATCAAAATCAATCCACTATCACCTCTAAATTATAATCTTTTGCACGGATAAAGACTGTCAAACCCTCTCTCTCTACACTTCTTTTTCTTCTCTTTTTTTTCTCTCTAACAATAGAAGGATATATATAGAAAAACCAAAACCCTATCTCTAATCGAACTTCCTAATTAGAATAAGATTCAAACTCCCAACCATGATGGAACCCAAACTCCTAATCATGATAGATTTCTAACCTTATCTAATTCTCATGAAGTAATACAAAGAATTAAAAACTCTATCCCAACTTGGAGTTTGAGTGAATACCCAACAATATTTACTATGAGACAGTAAATCCTACAGCGGATTACTGTAGCATTGTCACTGTAGCACAAACAGAATCATGTAGCATTTTTAAAAAAAAAATACTGTAGCATTTTTAAAATTGTAACATTTTAAAAAAATACTGTAATGAAAACAAAAAAAGACGGGTCATGTTTTGTTTTGCACGGGGTGCATACTAGTTACAATATACGACACATCGTTACAATCGAAAAAAAACATTTACTAATTTATTGTACTCTCTCGTTGTGAGAAATATGAGAAAGGATCCCCCACCAAACAACTTTTCCTTTGAAAAATTCATGGCTCGTTGGATTAAGGGAGCGTTTGACATTCAATGTGTTTTTTCTGTTTTCGTTTCTTTTTTTTTTAACAATGAAACATGTTTGGGAAGTGGGGTGTTTTTTTTTAGCTAATCATTCACAAATCCTAAACAATTCACGCTTTTCTCAAAACACCTAAAAGGTGGTTTAAGATCCCCGTTTCTCATTTTCCCCAAACCAACCCGATCCACTTTCTCTCCCTCAACCCTAACACCGTCGCCGCCACTCTGAATCGCCGCAGCCGTCACCGCCGCCTGCCGACCCGTCGCCGTGAGCTGCTCTCCGTGTCGTCAGGGCCTCCGAGTAGACACTCATCGCAGCTGCCTCCTCGTCTCCTATGTCGCCTCCTCGTCTTTGTTCTTGTTCTCTATTAAATGAGTGTGATCCCAATCTCAAACCCTAATTCGATCCAATGGCTTTTTCTCTCTCCCCATCAAATTCGTTCAATGCATCTGCCACCTCTGTTGAAAAATTCGAAAAGCAGCAGCAACTCAGATCTCTCAAGGTTTGATTTCTTTAATCTAAAATCTAATTTTCATTTTTTGCCCCTGGCTTCTTTAATATAGGATCTAATTTATTTTTCTCACTTTCTTTTATCAGATAGGAAGTTCCCAACTTAATTTGGCAACGAGACATGAACCTCATTTTATAAAGTTTGGATTGCGCAAGTAAGATTATTCTCCAATTTTAAACTTTTTTTATTTTTTTTCTTTGTCCAAGATTCTTCTCCAATTTCTGAGCCTCATTTTATTTTTTGGTTTTTTTAGTTTATGGCAAGAATTATAAACATTTTAAGAGTCATATATTATAATGTTATTGTTATATGTTTGTGTTTGTCCCAAAAATTTAAATGGTGTTTTGAAAACACGTTTGAAAAATAAACACCATGATATGATTTTTTTTAATCATAACAAAAAAAACATTTGGTTACCAAACACGCACAAACCAATTTCTCGATTGGTCCTCAACAGTAAGAAAAATTCTTTAATGACCCAAAATATGGGACCAATAAAGGGGACAAGTGAGGCGTCCCCCTCCTATTGGATAATGAGTTGGCCATCAATGATGACCAACTCATTATCCAATAGGAGGGGGACACCTCACTTGTCCCCTTTATTGGTCCCATATTTTGGGTCCATGTAACAAAGCTCCAACAGTAAAAAGCGCAAGCAAGCAGTTAATTAACAATTAATTAAACCAATTAACAAATAAAAGCAACTCAACAACCCAAATCCAACACTCAAAAGTCTCAACCCCTCTCTGTCTCTCCCCGTCAAAATCTCCTCCTTTCTCCCCAAAAAATCACAGAAAAATTAAAAAAAATCCAACCAAAAAATGCAGTGCTCGATCTCCACTCAAAACCCTAATTCGAGCTGGCTCGATCGCCTCCGATCATCCAGGGGCTTCCCCGTCTCCTCGGACCTCGAAAACCTCGACCAATTCCTCTCCTCAAACCCTAACCCTAACCCTAATCCCATCCCAAAACCCCTCCCAAAGCCTCCCACTACTAACAAAGACCCTAACTTTTACAATCTGATGACCAATGTCCTATCCGATCTCTTCATCATGGGCAACCCCCCGGGCCCCCATCCCCAGAAAACCTCTCGAAAGCAGCCGAACCCTAGGATTTGCAATGGGGTTGGCGAGAATCGGGAGGTGTCGCCGTCGAGTGTGAATAATATTGTGGCGGTTGAAGGTTGAAGGGAAGAAGAGGAAGCTGAAGGTGAAGAAGAAGAGGGAGAGTGAGGGGCCGAAGGACTCAGAGCTGGTAGGGTTTTCGAGGACGGAGGTGACGGTGATTGATACGAGCTTGTCACCGGAGTGGAAGGTAGCCCGGGTTTTGTATAGAAAAGGGTTGGTTTGGAAGGTGAGGGAGAAGAAAATGGTGAGGATTGGGAGGAAGAGGAGGAGGAAATCGGCGGGGAGTGAGAAGGAGAGGAAGGCCGCGGAGTTGGAGAGACAGGGACTGGCATTGTTGAACAAGGTAAATGTTTGATGATCTGCATCAGTTCTTCTCTTATTTTGTGCTACTCTTTTGTTTGGTAATGTCTTATGAATCCATTGTTTGAATTTATGTTGTTTGGGTGGCCTTGTATGTAGCAGTGTATCCTTTATAATTGGACTCTTGGAGAGTTAAGTAGGTACTATATATAGATTTAGAACCACCCAAAAGCTTAAATTGTTAGGTATTGACACCAACTTTTACTTGAGTACATTACTCTTTCTAATTCTTTCCGATATAGGCACGTGAACCCTTAACGAAAGCTATTCAACTGCTCCACAAAATCTAATAGCCAGCAAGTGATGGTGTATGACTGTTGCTTGCTAATGTGGGTGGCATGCAAGTCCAATACCACTTGCAGCAGAAAGTTGAGCTATGGCTAACTTGGGCTAGGCGCCGTTTCTGATTTGTAGGCTTTTACTTGCGGCAGCATATATAGATTAGACTTGGTTATAAAATTCTGAAGGATAACTATCTTTTGGCTTATTGCTACTGATATCTATGTAGGATCTGAAATAGATACACTAGAACACTAGAAAGAGGGTGAATGATGTTCTTGTAAAATATATGCAAAGTAGATTATAAATTGCAAAGAAAGAATGACAATCTCAGAAAATGAACATCACAAACACAAGCATGTATACTGGTTCCACCTCCCCGGTGTACATCCAGTCCCCAAGCAAATCCCGCTTGAGATTTCCACTATGATTTTGAAACCTTACAAAATCAAAAGCAAACCTGACCAATTTGCAAGACCATGCAAATTGCAACACCAATTGACAAGACCATGCCAATTGCCACCCAATCTCTAAACCAAGAGATCAACCCTCTCAAACCCGAGAGAAATCCTTTTTGAAGTAAGAACACAATTGATCCTATAAGCCTTGAATGTGTAGTGAAGTGCTGCAGTGGCTTAGGATTCTTTTAACTCTCTGAATATTGCCTATACAATCTCTAAGAATGATTGAAACCAAAGCAATATCAAAAACTCTCTTTTTCTAAACACTTAGCATGAAAATCTGGAAAATTAGAGAGTGAATATGCACAAAATGTTTGATCTTGCAAGTGCAAAACTTAGTTGTTGTTTTCTGATGTTTAAACCTATTTATAGCCTCTGAAATGACATAATTTTAAACCCAATTAACGTCCACAAAACGGCTATAAACAGTCACTTATTTTAAACCTGAAATCTGGAAAAACTGCTTTTGTAGTCGACTACAAGTCATAGTAGTCGACTACACTGAGTCTAAACAGACTCTGTGAAGTCAGAAAATTGATCAGTAGTCGACTACAAGGCATATTAGTCGACTACACTGTAAACTCAGATTCTGGAATTTTTTTGTTTAGTATTTTGACTATAACTTTCTCATCCGATATCGGAATGAGGTGATTTAAGATTTGTTGGAAAGCTCTTGAAGAGACCTACAACTTTGATCTTTTGAGTTTTTCCAGATTCTAATTTATAAGGGGTGTAAATGAAATGTTTTAAGACTCACTTAATATCTATAAACTCTAATGGCTAACATAGGGGATTTCTATTGTTAACCAACACACTAAGCATGTGTTAGTGTGTTCTAACACTATGTGTGTGCATGTGTGTGAGTGATCAAGGCTTGTACAAATTTCTAAGCAAAGAAAATATAAAATTACATTTTGACAATAAAGTATATCTTCTTCTTTGCTTCATTTTGCATTGAACTCATCTATGTCTTGAGTATCTCTTTGAATATAATTGTTGATATAGCTCTGATACTGCAAAACAAATGTTAGCACATAATACACACAACATATAATATTTGTTATCATCAAAACAAACTAATCTTGGGGTCAAGATTCCTAACAATCTATTGTGTTGAGAGTTTGAGACCAATTGATAGGTTCATGAGTAAAACCATAAAATTGAAACCTAATGCCGTTTTGGGCTTTATTAACATTTAGAATCAGATATCCCATTCACCGTGTAGTTTTTAATTACTTTTTCTGTAGCTAGAATATCATTTACCCTGGAAATTCTGTATCATGTCTTTTGGCGTGTGCTGGATCCAGCGAAGTCGAATTTAGGTGTGGAGGCTTTTGCATCCTGAAGGTAATGAAGTCCAGCTTAAAAAGATATTAAGTCTTTGCTGGCATGCTTCAGTATCTCTGCTTTTCTTTCTTTGTTCTTTTCACTTTTTGTTCTAAATTTTCATTTGAAATCGGTCTCCAATGAGTAATAACCTCCAAATCTTAATTATGATAATGGGCTAAAGAGAAGGGTTGCCTGTGTTGAAGCTATATTTGTTGTGTTGATTGAATAGATATCAGAAAAAGGTCTCTTATATCTCCATGCTTGAAGCAATTCCAAATTGCAGACACGTTGGTGAAATGAATTTGCTAGTATCAGTATACAAGAATGTTTTATGAGCCCACATACTCATTTTCTCTAATTAATATAAGCTAATTTGGTGCCACATGAAATGCTCTTGACATTTATCATCTCTCTCTCTGATCGCTTTGTAAATGTATGCTTATTACTGTCATTTGCTGCAAATAGGAAAGCACTCAAACTGACAAGAAAGAGGATTCCAAAGTGAGCAGCAACCAGATTCTCATTCCAAGAAGGTTCATTTGCTGAAATTCTTTCGTATAAATTTGATTATTCTATAAACCTCCTAATTGTTTTCATTAAGGATTCAGTGATCTATTTTTACACAATGCAGGCCAAAGTTTTCAAGATCTCCACGCCATCCAGCAGCAAAAAGCTCTAATGTTTTACGTTTAAAAATCGTTAGCAAGAAAAATGAAGCAAGCTGCTCAAAAGGTCTTCTTAAAGGAAAATGTTGATAGCTCAGAGAATGCTCTATTTTATTAGTCCTTTGGATGAACATTTTGGAGAGAACCTTTCATATTCTGCTAACTTGAAGAAATCAGAATGCTGTATGAAGGATCTAGGTGTTATTCCATGATCCTGTCAATCTCAAACTCCCATCAATTCTCAAAATCTCTAACTAGTGGGAATTCAAGCATTTCCTTCAAAAAATCTTCAGCATTGTAAAATTATTTGTGTATCATTTTTATTCATTTTTTTAAACATCTGTAACTGTTTGCAAAATATATAATAGCTCTGAAAACCTATTACTTTGTGTTCAAATTTTAGATTTGTAATTTTTTTCATTGTAATGAGAATCAGACTCAATTTGATGTAGATTAATTCTGGACTGTCGATTTGATGGAATTGATGAAATTAGGACTTGTTAGGATGTTAGTTTTTTTTTAGTAAGATTTGAGCTTACTTTATATAAAATTCAATATTAGTTAGGATTTACCTAGGATTTGATATCACCTTTATCTAAGGGGGTGTTTGGTTCAATTTCTAGAAATTATAGGAAAATGTTTTCCACTTAAAATATGATTTCCTTGTATTTCTTAAAAAAATTATAGGAAAAGTTTTGAGAAATCAAAAAGTACCAATTTTTTTGTTTTTTGTACTTTGCTTGTTTGGTTCAAAACAAGAAAATGGCTCATAACTTTATAGAAAATAACAAGATTTGGTAGGTTTTTAATTAAATATGGTATGTGTCAAATTTCTGGTGATTTTTTCTCATTTTGAGAGGAAATTGTTTTTTGTAAAATTTGGTAGGTTTTGAAATTTTATAGAAAATATTTCTGTAAATTTTTTGTTGAACCAAACACAATTTACAGAAATCTCTGGAAAACTTTTAATTATAAAATTGTCATTGTCAGATGTTTTGAGAAAAGTTTTCTAAAAAAAATGTGCAACCAAACAGCCCCTAATCTAAAACCTTTCTTCAACATCCACTGATGTTCATCTGCTCTCGCTTTAACATCGGATCCCTCGCGCCTCTTTGTCAAATAGATCCGGTCGTGTCAAACCTCCGACAAGTTCTAATGAGTTCTCACGATCTACTCGAGTATTACCGATGTCGGATCTCCTCCGATCGACCACTGGTGAATTATGACCCTCACACCCCCACCAAGCCATTGACAACTCATCTCCTCCGGTGAAGCTCCATAATGGTCTTCCGATGTTGTTCAAAGTTCAATTAATTCTCCACCGTATCCAAACACGTTCTTGGAAAAAGCTACCAAACACTTAAAAAAAATCTACACGTTCGCACAACCAAGATCAAGATTTTCCCGTACTTTTGTATCAGGCCCAGATAGGCGTCGAAGGCGTCACGTTTGCGAGCCTCCCTCCTCCTTCTGGATTGGCATCACGAGCATACTCAACAAAATTAGTTTCGAGGATCGATCCTCATATTTCACTCTTGTTGCGATAGTATTGTCCTTAAAAAGAAATACTATCAAATCTTCATACTTATAAGTTAGACCCCAAATCTATTAGATTGTTTTAAATACCAAACTGACATATATTTGAGGCCTGATATGGCATAAAACCCAAGGAAAAAAATTTTACAACACGTGTTTTGCTCTTTCTCATTAGTTTTGTTTTTGGATAAATACCAGAACCCCAAAAAGTTGGACAATTATCAGGAAACCCCCCTTAACTTTTAAAATATCAGAAAAACCCCTTAAATATAGAGATTATCGTAAAATCTCCTTTTAACTTTCAGACTTTATAAACCCTAAACTTAGGGGGGGTTCCGATATTTTGAAAGTTGGGGGGGTATATATATGATATTAGCCTTTTTTTTTTTTTTTGCTAGAGCTTTTATCATTCCCCTCAAATTCTAATAGCGTCTTGTGGTGTCCATTTGAAAATACTTTACTCATGCATAAGATAGGGAGAGCGTTGAACGTGGTGAATCTTTATCATTGTGTCCGTGATGTATATGATATCTAAATGGTCTTTTTATCTTTGAAAGTTCGTGGTTCAAATTTTGGCTTGATATTGATAAATGCTCCCAGAGTAACATGGACAATTAAAGCATGGACTCATATAAAACTCGAAAGGATGAACAGTTTAAACGAGAGACATGTCATATTCTATTTGCATATCACTTCCAAATTTGATTTGCATGGAGTTAATGGGCTTTGATCACAGGTTCGGAACCAAATAAATAAAAAAACTCACTACTAGATCTTCCCCCTAATTTTTAATTCAAATCGGCAACTTTTTTTTTTTTTTGAATTTTGTAAACGTGACTCTATACTCACATATAAATCCTATCAATAACGTCCTGACTGAGATGTGAAACACTAATTCAGAAACTTATGTCAATATCTTTTCTTTGCTTATTCTTCTTAATTTCTTGCTCTCTCTCTCTCTCTCCTTTCTTATGTATATCCTTTATTTATCTTCTCCTGTTAATAAATTTCTTGAATGTCTCGTCCAAGTTACCAAAAAAAAAAGAACTTTATAAATAAACGATCATTAGCACGTAAGCTGTCAGAAGACTTGGCTATTTTTATGTATAGATTTTTTTTATGTATAGATTTTTTTTATGTACAGATGAGTATCACTTTAAAGTTGTAATTCTAATTCTACGTTTGATCATAAAAATTGAAAATCAACAACCGTCAAAGATTCAAAATTGAACTCCAACTAAAACTGAAAGGACAAATTTTTAAAAGGACATTTTTTCAATTTTATATAGCAAAAACGACCTCATGAGAAAATAATCTGCAAAACCGATCATTTTCTTTGGAAAATTGTCGTTTTGCAGTCGCAAAGTTTTTCGAGCTACACGGGACTGCTAGTCCCGTGTAGTTCGATCAACAATTGAAATGCACGGGACTAGCAGTCTCGTGCATTTCATTCTTTTTATCCGAGTCTTAAGCAGAGACTATCCAAAAGAAGAATGAAATGCACGGGACTGCTAGTCCCGTGCATTTCAATTGCTGGTCGAACTACACGGGACTAGCAGTCCTATGTAGCTCGAAAAACATCGCAACTGCAAAACCGACCATTTTCCGAAGAAAAAGGTCTGTTTTGCAGATTATTTTCTCATGAGGTCGTTTTTGCCGGAAATAAATAAATAACAGAAAGAACTTAAAACCCCGATTTCACCGCTCTCTCTACCTTAATTCTCTCTCCTCTTCAAAGAGTTTTTCTTGGTGACCAAGTTTCGATCTTGATCTCGAAATTCTTCAACAATGGCGGTTGATTGCGGGTACGAGAAGGCAAGGAAGAGGAGCAAGATGAAACTTTTGGTTGGCGAACACGTAGAGGTACTTTTTCCGATTTAATTATGTATTTATTTGTGGTGTCTGATTTTCTTGGGTTTAATGCCTTGTTTGTGGTGATTTGGAACTGGGTTTTGTTTTAATTTTACTGTTTTTTGCTGTTTTGTTTTTTCAGTGCAGATTTGAATTTTTTTGCATATTGGTATTTTCCTCATGAAAAAAGAGATTTTTTAAATAAAATTTTCTGTACTTTACAACATCTATTATTATTAATTTCTATAAAGACTGTAACTTGATATTTGTTTCTTTTTCAAATTAGTTCTTCTTCACTGATCTGCAGTTATATGATTATACATTGCGTTGGAAATCTCCTCTGATTATTGTAGATTTTTGCACTGCAGTTATATGATTCCTTTTTTGTCTTATATTTTGGTTTCAATTCGTTCTTCTTGTTGATTTTGATATCGTTTTCTTGTAATGTCATTGGCTGTTTCTGTTTAGTCTGTTATTGCAAAAAAAAATTCTCTTAATTTGGATTTGCATGTCGAATTCGGTAGTATTAGTATTTTTTCCTGATGAAAAAGAGATTTTTTTATTTTTTTTAATCTAGTTTACAACATTCTTGTATGATTAGCTTGGTAGTTGTTTCTTCTTATAACCAGTTGTTCTTTTATTACTCTGCAGTTATAAGACCCTGCACTGTACTGGACATTTCCTTTGATGAATTGTATGTTTTACTGTCTTTGGTTCATATTCTATTCACTTTTTGTAACTTCCATCTTTTTTTTTTTTTTTGGCCTACCTTCCCAATTTCGATGGGTATATTTATTTTTTATGTAGGATGTCTGTTATTTTCATTCATTTTCCTTTTGAGAAGATTGCTTCTAGCCCCCAATGTTTGAAAAGCCATGCTTCTCAAACCCTTTTAAAAAAAATTTAAAAAGTGTCCCTCCCTTGGGCCCAAAGATTATTATGGGGATCCTCTACTTACCTGGTTGTAGAGTGAATCTACAATCCACAAATACCATCTCTTTACTCAGTGGACCCCAAAAAAAATTTATTGTGAGGCCCACTAAAATCAATTAATAGCCCACGTTACTAATTGGAGTCATTCTCTATGACTAAGGCTGTAGAATAGGGATTCTCTATATCTTGGTTGTAGAGAAACTCTACACTTCACCAATTGGATCTTTTGGTGGATCCTATTAATGATATTAATTACATAAATTATATAGAAAATCTTTTAACTATGGGACCCACTGAATAAAACAATACTATTAATTCACCTAGTCTGTTGTAGGAATTCTCTACAAACAAGGTTGGTAGAGCAAGTGCAGCAGCCTCGGTAAGGAAAAGCTCCCAACATGCTACAACAAGCTCCCAATGAGGCTCCTAAGTCCTAGTTGGTGGTGTGGTCCACCATTGAGCTCCTAAGAGCTCCACAAATTTGTGGAGCACTTGGGAGCTCCTAAGGGGTGGGGCCCACTAAAAATAATTTTTTATTAGATTTATTGTTTTAAAATATATTTATAAAATGTTAGAGGTAGAAGAATGGATTTTTTGAATAATATTTAAGCTCCTAATTGGGAGTTTGTTGGAATATTTCTCCTAGTAGGAAGCTCCTAAGCAAGTGCATCAAGCTCCCACTTGGGAGTCCTAGTCAGCAAGCTCTCAAGAGCTCTTAAGCATTTTGAAATAAAAAATTATAAAAATAAGCCTTGGGAGCACCTCCTTATTTTATGGAGCTCCAATAAGCTCCTAGTTAGGAGCACCAACAATATAAAAAAAAAACCCTCTTCTATCAAAAAAACCTCACTTCTATTGCAAAGATACAAAGGCCAAGGACTTTTTCGTAAAAAAAATATTTCTTTAAGGCTTGGGAGCTCCCAAACGCTCCACAAATTTGTGGAGCGCTTGGGACTTTTTCGTACTCCACAAATTTGTGGAGCGCTTGGGAGCTCCGTGGCACAAACCCCTAGGCTTTGTGCCATGGAAGCTCTCAGAGCTCCCTTGGGAGATTGCTGGAGCAAGTCCAGCAAGCTCCCACCGTCACCTCAGCCTTAGGAGATGCGATGGGAGCTTGATGGACTTGCTTAAGTGGGCCACATGCTTGAGAGCACTCCAATAAGAGCTCCCTACTAGGAGATTGCTGCACTTGCTCGTAGAGAATCTGAGCCCCCCCAACCCCCTCAAGTTTTTTATATTTCTGAAATACCTTGCCACATGGCCCACATCATCACTCTCAATGTCTCGTCTCTTCCATTCGGCGGCAAAGCCATAAATATTATCCCAAGGGGCCAATATTGACTCTCAATGCTCTCATTCAAATATGTTCACAATAAAATCCAAATATAAAAGGTTATTACGGGCATATAAAAAAATGAAAGAACAAAGCTACTCACTATATTACAGGAAAACAATAAAAGAACAAAGTTACTCATGAATACAGAAAAGTCATAAAAACATAAAACATGCTAAGCTAAAAATGGTTTCATAATTTATTTATAAATCTAATAATAGAAAGTTTTATTTTTTTTTCACTTGTTTAGGATGTATAAACTGTTAGAAAATTTTTTAAACAAAAAAATCTTAAAAGCTTAAAACTTAGCCCCACAATTTCATATACAACTTCATGAGACTTAAGGACATAACATAGAAAAGAAAACGCACTTTTGATTATCAATCGAAAGTGGTTTTGTTATCTTGCACCCATCACTGGCCCAAAGGCTAACTTTTATTTCCTAGCTCGACTTAGCTCTAGTTTTAAGAGGACCACCTACGGCATATGTGACTCTCCTATTTTTTCAATCTGTCTCATGAACCTATGAACCGTTTCTCCTCCTTCCCCTCCTCCCTCAACTTCCATCTTTTTCGCTTCACCGCCAGCCTCCTGTTGATCATTGCCTCCATCTGCTACCACTTCTCTCCTCCTAAGAGGCCTTCATAGTGGGGCAATGATGGGGCCTCAAGGGAAGGGAGGAAAATGGAAGCGAAGGCGGAAGAGAGTTTGTCTTGCGAGGCGATGGACCTCGCAAAATGTGACAATTTATAGCTAATGGTGAAAAAGTTCAACACAACTAGATACGAAGATAACTATATATAGCTAGGCGTGACAAAATTCGACACAATGGTAACAAATAATACCTAAATACTACAAAAATATGTTAGAAGTATCAAACTAGACATAAAGGTAACGATTCATAGTTAAAGGCGAAAAAGTTCGAAACAAGTTAAAATTAGACATAAAAGTGATAATTAATAGCTAAAAGTGACAAATAATAGCTAAATTTGACAAATATGTTGAAGGTAACATGTTAGACACAAAAGTAACAATCCACAGAAGTTAGTCATAAAAGAAAAAGTTAATAGGCAAAGGTGACAAAATTAGGCAACGAGAACAAATAATAGTAAATGTGATAAAATTTTCCTAATAAAGTAACAAGTTAAACACAAATGCAGAGTTAATAATAGCTAAAGGTGACAAACTCCACTGCCCCTGTCCTTTGCCTTGTCACCAATCTCTAGGTAATTTTTTTTATAATAACTAATTAATTGAAGACTTAAAAGAATAAATATTCAAATATTATACAATAAATATACTTAATTATATCCAAATCAACATAATGGAAGATTGGCAAATATTAAGAAATAGGGAATGAGGTCTCATGCTC